TGCCATCGCCTATCTTCCTTTTTGTCTCACTATTTACTCCTCCATCATGTGTTCTTAGTCGCATCAATATATCTTTTCAATACCTTTTTTTTTCAGAAACCTTCCATGTCAACTGTTTTGTGTATCTTATAATATAGTTTTACCATATGTAGGTCTTTCTTCTTTTGAAACACTATTTCATCAATCACTTGAGTAGCAGCTCCCATGTTAGATTTCCTTGGCATAACACCAAAACCATTTCCTAATAATATTGCTTCATGTTGTATTATTTGCTCAATCAATCTATTCCTGCGTTTCATTGTTTAATACAGTGATAGTTAGTTGTTCCAACATATTGCTACTACCATGCTTTGCCTTCATTCATCCAGCATCTTCTTCATCTGTAATTTCTTTTATACAAATTAGGCAGTCAGATTACTTCCAAGCATGAACAAATGTTCCATTAGACCCTATACGCCCCAAACACTTCCAAGTTGCATGATGAACTGCATATATATGATTGACATCTAAATTGATTCAATATGTCCCACGAAAAGTTCAGCCAATCATCATCCGCTATCTGAGATTATTCCATCAATACCCAAATACTTCCAGCATTAACAAATGTTCCATTAGGTCCCATAAGCCCCAAACACTTCCGAGTTGCATAACCAACTGCATATATATGATTGGCACCTAAATTGATACATTATGGCCCACAAAAGTTCAGCTAATCCGCCCACTATACAGAAGTCAGTTAATAACAAGAAAAGGCCAAAAGAGATGAACCGTCAGATATATACAAACCCAACAAACCTAATTAATGCAAATAAAGGGATGCTCCCACTTTCAACTTGCAGATTGGCAATTGAGTGGATTTGACCGAATTCACAGATGCAGATCCTAGCTCTGTGGTTAAACCTTGCTGTGGCGTACAAGGTTAAAATTGATTGACTGGAGATTTGGGGGTGGGAGAGACAGGCACAAACACCTAATCATTTCACGTATTAGCTGGAGGGGGAAAAAAATCACTGGTTGGAATGGGGTATAAAAATGCCTTAGAAACTTGCAAGGCACCTAGTACTGAAAGTACCTAATAAAAAACCACGAAAGCAACATATCACTAGGCCACAAAAATTGAGAGTGGATTTGTCCAAATTTGCAGATGCAGATCCTACACTCTCTGTGGTGTAAAACTTGATGTAGTTACAAGGTCAAACTTGATTGGTTGGAGTTGGGGTTGGGGGAAACACTTAATCCTTTCACGTATTAGCTAGTGGGAAAAAGTACTAGTTGGAATGAGGTATAAATATGCCTTAGAAACTTGCAAAGCACCTAGTACTGAAAACGCCTAATAAAAACCAAAAAAGCACCATATCTTCCTTTTTTTTTTTTTTTTTTTTTTTTTCTTTTTTTTTTTGCCCGGAAGGTAATGAAAGCAACATATCCCTAGGCCACAAAATTGGATTGATCATTTCACTGTTTATATTAATTTAACGATCTACTTAGTTTCACTTTCACCTTTTGGTTGCATATATATTAATTTCTGCACATAAATTATACATATATATATATATATATATATATAGATCATTACTTGGTATAACAGGAAAAACTCATGATTGACAAGCATGAAGACACAAGGTCAAGGATGAGACCAGCCATTTTGTACAAAATAATGGCAAAAGGTTAGACTTATCTGTGGCCATACTAATGAGTTAAGTAGTAATTGAAGATATTACAATTTAGCATGTAGTTTGATTGAGGTTGTAGTAATAAAAAGAACATAATGGTGAAACATTAATCATGTACTAGAACCCAATAGTCAGGACCCTAGATAATTAGGGAAAAGAATTGTTGAGTCGAGTTGGAAAGCATATGCGATATCAAAATTTTGATATAAGGCATCCAAATATAAAATATATCATTGTCTATTAAAAACTGAAACAAACCTTAAAAAAGATAGGGCTTTTGTTTCAAAAACAAAAAAGTTCAACTGTACATACCTGTACATGTCATTCATGATATCCTAAACCTAAAGGAGTACCCCATTCTATCCAAAAGTGCAAGCCAATCTCAAAAACCTGACGGCCATGCACCACCATGTTAGTACATGAACCAGATATGTATGAGAATAAGGGTCCTCAAATTGTTCCATTCGAAGACCAAGCTGATCCTTCACATTGGCCATTTCCTGGCACGAGTTGATTTTTTCAAATTTTCAGATGCTTTCTCCGCCTCATTGTCCATGGCAATCTGCCTATCACGACATTCAGCAGTACAAAATGCAAGGAAGTAGCTGCATCACATCAAGTGTTAGTTTCAGTATGCTAATACTGCTATAATGATAAGAACCTGAAAGATGAAGGGATGGAAAAGAGGATCACTAAACAAAAAAAGAACTTACAACTAAGACAACTATAACAGTGGTATTAAATACGAGAATCATAGGAAAGGTCGATAGAAGATCCAACGATGGAATTCATCTGAATCATCATCTTATATGTGAATAAAATCACCGTGAAACTTGAAACCAGTGCAACTAATCAAACCATCTTGGTCTTCGACTCTAGGCAAAATGATAGCTATTTTGATATCTTGTCATCATAATCATATTGAAGGAGACAAAAAGAGATAAGAGAATAGAGTTAAATTTGATTAAGAACAGAAGGAATGAACGACAAAATAGTTCACTATGATTAATATATAAGAAGAAACTAGAGTGATTCACATTAGTTTTGAAACGAGCATGAACAATTCGAGGAAAAAATATAAAGAGATTTCAAAACAAAGGAAAACGCCATTGTAAACGCAGATATAGAAGAAAGCAAGAACAGAGGAAAAAGACGGTATAAAGAAACTAAATCCCTACCTATACATGAAAACCTCTGCATCCTCTCCGATCTTCTTCTTGCAATGGTAACATTTCTCAAGAAACCCTTCAATCGGCTTCTTATCACCCGCAACAACACTCTCCTGAACCGGAGACGACAGCGTCAGAACCCTTGGTCGCGATTCAACAGATTTTTCTGCCACAGAAGTTGTCAGAACCGAATTGCTTGACGGCTCCGCAGCGGTGGAGAAGGGCGCAGCTGTGCGCCGCTCGCACTGGCGGTCAACCGAATCGGCCTCCGGCGCCGAGACGTGGCGGAGGACTCCGGTCTCTCCGAAGCTTGAAGACCTGCCGATTCTAGAGCGCTTGATCGGCATTGTAGCTAGGGTTTCACTAAAGGGGCAGAGAAAGAGAGAGACGAAAACTAGGGTTTTGAGGTTTGGGTTGAGAGAGAGAAATGGGGAATCGGTCCGTACGTACTGGAGCGGAATTTGCTGGAGTACTGAAAAGCTCCAGAGATACTGAAGGTATATATAGGCTGCTGTGGTCCCACAGCCCCAGACGACGACGACGCTTCTCAACTAACCACGCGGCCACGCCAACGCCTATTGTTATTTATTTCTGATCCTCTGCGGTGACCCTCGTCAAGTGCAAGTGCAAGTGAACCAGTATTCTATTTCTATATAGCCAAGTGAAGAAGTATGTGTATTTTTGAAACAAATATCTCGCACAACATTCTTGAAAATATAAATTTTTAATATTTGAAGTGTATGTGCCAAATTTTAATAGTTTTGGTAAATTATTTCGGCCTTCTGAAGTTTCGTCGATATATATTGCCCTTTTTTTTAATTTGTCAAATTACACGTACCTCTCATTTGTTAATGTTTAAAAAAATATTTATATTAGTAATTTTATAACTTTCAAATTTCAATCCTAGACTTAAATGACATGTTTATTGTAATAAAATACAGAATATATATAAGGAATAAAACTTAATTACAAATCCTACATGTCTAATAGGAAAAGTCAATGTAATTTGATAAATTAGAGATACGTCATTGTAATTATCCTAATTTTTATTAAAAGTCGTTTGGGATTGCAATTGTAAAGATAATTTTATTCTTTTTTTTTTTATTTTATAAAATCCTAATATTACCCAATATAATTCATTAAAGGGAGTAATTGTAAAATTAGTAGTAGTACTTTAAACAAAGTCCTAATATTACCAAATATAATTCATTAAAGGGGTTATTGTAAAATTAGTAGAAATACCTTAAACAATAAGAGTAATGATAGATGTGCCGACTATTTTGGCTGAATTGTAGTCCGAGTTTAACATGATTGTGCCACGTCATGTCCTCTTCCTCGATATTTCCTTGGGCGCTAAAAATGCGGAAATATAAGCTAAAACCTCCTCTCTCTCTCTCTCTCTTCGATTTTATGATATCCCTTCCACGATTTTCCTTCTATAGCTACCTCTTCGTTTCTTCCTCTCTATCTATATCTTTATCTCTATCTTCATGAGTCTGTATCTTATTCTGACATCTCTATCTTCATTTAGTTCATCGATCTTACTCCCTATATTTCTCTCAGGTTCTGGCTCCCTTTTTGTCTCTTTGATTAGGCAAAATCCAAGGAAAAAAACAGAATTGAATAACTAAGAAGAGACTGTTCAGTCAACCATAATGCCCTTGATTTTGTATCCGTTCATGCTTAATTCAATGGTTCAATACCCTATACTAGTTTGGAATTTTTATTTTTTAAGTTGGACTTACTTGAAGTTGATTTGATCAGTCTCCTGGAAGCTCTTTAGATCTATCAGGAAACTGGAAAAAGAACACCTTTTTCTTTTGTTTGAGTGGGTTGTCTTGGATTTAGGCTCTTAAAATGACACAATATGCCAAAGAGGTCGGATCAAGTATCATTATTCTAAACAATATTGTTGTCAAACAAATTAAAAAGTGCTTTAATTATGAAATATATTTTTTAAAACAAATGATCAAATGCATAAAATGATTTCTACTAACAAAGCTCTACTAATAGAAACATTTTTCCATTACAACAACTGACAAAGAGGCCTTAGAAATACGAGCAGGGTATCACTGATTAATAATTTAATTTTTGTATCATTAATCCCCGCCCAAAAATAATTTAAATAGAAATTAAACCAAATTAACACCATAACAAATAGAAAAAAATATATCCGAACTGACAACAAAACCAACAATTCAATTACATGAACACTTGGCCAAAAATAAGAACAAAAGAATGCTTTATCCGGATAAGAGCCATGGCCATAAGACACTAATGAACCATAAAACAACTTTTGACTCTGAACTAATGATCCAACATCAATGGTCTTTGATGGAACTAATTCAAGTTGTCTCTCTGCTCCAGAATTTCAAAAGATTAGCCCTGCAGGCTATCTTATATAGTTTTGGTATTAACATAACCAAAGTGTAATAAACTCGGTGATCAGCGCGAGTTACGTTTCAATAAAACCTAATTTGAGAAATAAATTGCGGCACATCACTCACAGCATTGGGCACAACAAAACATTTTAACTGGAGGATTACGAAGTTTAGCAAGGAACCGAAAAGGGTTTAGCTTATGAAATTACAAGGAGAGAAACAAACCTTTGGCAGACCTGTCTTCATGATTTAGTTGGGAGATGTATCCTTCATTTTTCATGATGGATGATTCTCAGTTGCATAATAAACTTCTAGCAACTCATCAAGCCTTTCACCCCTTCTTTTCCAGTTCCATGCATTACATAACGATGCCAACAGAGAAAATGTACAAGAATTGGTAGCCTTGTCAGTGTTTTGTCAATGTCATGATCATCACGAGTAATCTCAGTTCCATTTTACAAATTAACTCATCAAGCTTTCCTCCCCGTCTTTCCCAGTTCAGTCTATTTACATAACACTGCCAACAAACACAGAGTGCACGCTAAATGTAAACAACCAGTTGCAGCCTTGTTTATATTTGGATGTCATCACATTTAAAAACTCTTCACAGCATGAAGGCCCATTGGCTAACAGCTTCGAGAGGCACATATTAGACTAAAATTTATCAAGATAAGCCAACCCATTTCTTAAAAGTCAGTGCGGATTCTCTCTTTTTAAATTGTGCTTCTGACTGGAACTTGGGAGCCTTGCCCTTGTATAGTGTCTTATGGTACTTCAAGAAAAGAGTGCGATACTTGTACTTGTCGATAAACATCTTCCCTCTCTCCATCATCTCCACTACTTCATTTGCTCGAGCAAAAAATCCACCCCTGACGAATGTATAAAGTACAGAATCCAGCAATTCTTGATCAAACTTCATTGCACTGGAAAAAGCAAGAACCTTCATCTCTCCCCAAAGCTCTGTTACCTCTATATACTTTCCCCCAATAGCAGCATATCCGGTGACCATAGAATGGAAAGTTTGTGCATTTGGGGCATGCCCCAAACTCCTCATCTTCTTAAGAGCCTTCTCAGCGTCTTGCATTAATCTCTTCTTGCTGAAAAAGTGAATTACGTTATTCCAATCATGAACTCCACAATCCGCACTCTGCCCTTCCTTGATCTCCTGCAAGAGCTTTGCCATCAAACCTGCTTCACCACCCTCTCTGCATCCCTTGATCAACATCTCAAATTCTTGATTACCGGCTCTCGGTATTTTTGCCTCTTTCATCTCTTTGAATAGATTGAGGGCCCCCAGATTATCTTTCTGGATCACCCGGGACTGGATCAATGCCTCATAACAGCTTGAGTCTAGCTGGATCCCAGCCTTACTTGCATCTCGTAGGAGTGATGTAACTTCTCCTGCTCGGTTTGCTTTACAATATGCTTTTAGGAGGGAGGCATATACCGAAGAACCAGTTCTAACACCACTCAAACGCATTTCATCTAGAAGATCATGTGCCTGATCTAACCATCCAAGTGAAATGCATGAATTGATTACATGAACCAAGGCAGAATTATCTGCAGAAACTGGAGAATCTTCTCTCTCTGCTTTGATAAAAAAATCAGCCAAATCCTTCATCTTGCCAGCGTCCAGGAAAGCTTTGACCAATTTCACATACATTCTTTCAGTGGGTTGGAGAATACCACGTTCAGTTGTGATCAATTGGACTTGACTTTGCAACTTCACCAACGACATCTCAAGTAAGTCTTTAGCCTCAAATTCGAGTTCTGAAAATTTTCGGTCTCTAAAAAAATCATAATAAGAAATTGAAGGGCTTCTAAGTAATCGAGGATTCTCTGATTCGTCAGATTTTCTATCGTTCAAATGTTGTCTAGAAGGCGCTGTGACTGCTGTCTTGCCACTTTCTGCGGCTTCAAAAATGAGTGTAGCAGAAGCAAGAGAATTTTGTGCTTCCTTTGCCTTTCGAACCATTTCCAGAACCATGTGGGATGCAGATTCTAGATCCCCGAAGTTCAAATGGCATGTAAGCAAGCAATTATAGTACTGTCGAAAGTGAATATCACTAAGGTCATGGGCTTCATCTATGTGTCTCTTAAGCTTCTTGAGTTCTTCTCTTCGTCCATTTCTCGCATAAATATGGGACATGATGATCAATAAGGTTGTGTCGGCTTTGACACCGATATGAGGCATCATTTCAAGGAGTTGCTCTGCTTTCCTTGTAGTACCAAACAGAAGACAGCCAGCCAAAGCAATGTTGAACGTAGTTGTATTAGGCTTCATAGCAATCAAAGGTTCATTAATCTTTTTGCGTGGGTCCACCCTGCCATCTTGGAATAAGTAACCTATCTCAAGAACCAACTCAGCAGCAAGATAAGATCCAGGAGCTGTTCGTGACATGTGGGCCAAGATTGCAGACCAAGCAGTCACTGGGGGAAATTGCTCCATTGCTAGTAACTTCCTCAGCACAGTCGATGCAGGAACAGGTAATCCACATCTAGCAAGAGCGAAAGCGAGATAAATCAGAGTCTCCTTCTCTAACAAATTCTGTTTACTCCCCTCGATAGCTTTCTCCACCAATCCATAAGCTTTCTCAAGCCACGTAACATCTTGGCTCTCTGCAAAACTTGTAAGCAATTTATTCACAATGGATTTTCTAGGAAACCCTTCCATCTGCATGTGCTGTTCTTGCAACTTCCATGCATCACTGAGTCTATGCTCATCAATTGCATCTTGTAGTTCCATGCATAATTTAGCTGGGTCTCGTGCCTGGACCAGGACTGTACCAGCCATAGTCGAAAGATATTGTAAAGGATTGGTGAATTTATGGTGAAAATCCAAGAGATTAATTTGCATATTTAAATTGGTCAATGAAGAGCCATAAAACTGATAGAGAGCCTTATGACTCCAATAAACCTGAAGTTGGTATCTCAAAACCCTGACAGTACTGAATTTACTAGGACTGAGCAAAGAAAATAAAGGAGCCACTTGATGGCTCACTTTCTTGATAGATAGCATATCTACACTTGGAAAATATTAACGATTGCACGTTCAGCACTGAAATCGATCAATATCTGCACTATGAACAGAACCATTTAGTACCTGATGAGCTTAACTGGAAAATATTGAGCATTTGAAAATATAGGAACAGATGAAGCCAAGATGTTTAAATCATCCCAAACATACAAAGATAATCATACCAAGTAGAAAAGGATTAAGAAACCACCAAGAATGTAATGAACAATTTGTAATAAAGTCAGTTTAAACTTTTTACAGACTACACCAATACTCTCCATATCTTCAATAAGTATGACAAAACCAAAATATGAACATGATTTTGATGAGAAACAAAAGACTAGAGCTATGGTTTAGTCCTTAGGCTACACTAAAATATGTATAACCAATAATTTGGTACTGAAAAGGGAAATTATAACATCATCGAAATTTATGAGCGTTATCAATCCAACAACTTTTATCATTTTGAAGATTCCATCTAGAAAAGTAAAATGATAATATAGCAAACTCCAGGGAACTTCCCCTCTTTAGCTAAAAGAGAAATGCAACTCTCTCTCTCTCTCTCATTAAGGAGTAATTAATTTCATTAGCATTCAAACTAGACAAAAAGCCGTTCTGTCTTTTGTTTACAGTCTTCACCAGATGACAACCATTCTGTCAATGACGGGTTTTTATATCTTTGGTTAGATTAGTTATAATAATCTAAACACTATCGCTCATCAGTAAATTAGTATTAACTACATGCAAGTGTCACCACGGTGTACCCGACAGGCTGAAACATTTTTGCTTCTACATTGCTTTAATAACACAGATTATACAAGAAATTTTTTACCAGCTGGTGTAAAAGAATATATCTTCCTTTCAATCAGGTCTTTTAAGGGTAAGCAGTTACGGCAAAATATGATACCATCTGCCTCTCCAATAGCTTCCTCCAATTGATGCAATTTGGTATCTCAATCAAGAAAATCTTGGAAATAGATATTATCATAAAAAAAATTTAAAGCTGCAACTAAAGAAGTTATAATAGATCAAAGAATTGAAAATGTGAAATGAATGGTGAAAAGATTTCTATGGAAGAACAAAATTCACTAGTTGGAAATAAAACGGTTAACAATCGTTTGCTTTGTTTCTTCACTTATTTGTTATATGCACTTACTACTTTAATTAATCAGTGAGAGACCTAAAATAATAGAGTATCACAAGTTATAGTTTTTCAAAAGCCATATTGAATTCTTATTTTGCAGGTTCTAAAGCTAACCCATCAGAAATATTGGTGCCCACAAAACGAAAAACCACTCTTCAAGATAAAAATCAAGGGAAAGAAAGAAAAAAGGGAATTCAACTACACCAAGTATGCATTAGGCTCCAATGAGTTGAGGTTAAAGAATTGAATTCTAAACATTCAAAAAAGGGGGTTGATTGTCTTCTTCTTCTTAATTTTCTCAGCAACCAAAGGGGCCAGTCAGGGTGGTGAAGACAGTGGGGCATTTTATCAAACAGTGTGTGAGGTATGAACTCACAAACAAATTTACATATGCATATAGACACAAAACATAACAGAAGCTGCTATGTCGCAATTAATTCGATGCAATACACCGAGTATTATGAGTTCGGATCATACAAGAACTAAGAAAAAAGAAATCAAATGAGCAAATAAAGTTACAACTTACCGATGGGAAAAGTAGGAGTGGGTAATTGCAGGTGATCGTTTTGGCCTAAGGCCTTCTTGTATTTTTCTTCTTAAAATATATATATATATATATATATATATATATATCATTTACATTTGGAACTGACAAATGAAAACAAATCGACGGTGTATAGAAGAAAGCTTGGCGTGTTCGGTGTTCGGTATACTGTGTCGCTCATGGTCGTCTAGCTGAGGGCACGGACTTTTTCAAGTTGGACTCAATTTGGGTGCTAATCAAAAGCCCAAACCGGTCTCTGAATGGATTTGGGGCAGCCCTTTTTAGTTCATCCAAACGGTCTTTAATTGATTTTACGTTTTTTTTTTTTTTTTTTTTGACTCGTAATAAAATCGGGACAGAGGTGGTATTAGTCGGTTAATTGGTGTTGCTAAATTGCAAAAGATAAATAAATAAATAACAAAAATAAAGAGAATTATGATACCCATCTCTCCCGTGTGAGAGTTCAATTTGATTTTTCAAAGTGTCCATCTCGCTCTGTCTTAAAAAGAATTTTGTAAATAAATTTTTATGCTAGTCATAAAGTTCAAACAAATACATATATATATTTCTTATACTCTTAAAATTCAATTATGGTAATAAAGTTTTATACAAAATTTTATGTCAAACACTAAGATCATTATAGCCTAGTGAAACTTCCTTACCTTTTAAAATAGAAAGTCCGAGTGTTCAAGCGTGATGTTTTCGATTTTCACCATTTCTCATTTTTTGGAATTTTCTGTTTTTGCAAGGGTATTTTTGTCTTTTCTTGTTTTGCGTGCCGGACACCGCTGGGTGTGCCGGGTGTATCCGAGAGTTGGTTGGAGGCATTCCGAGAGTTTGGAACTCTTGGAAATGTAACGGTTACCATTTCGGCATTTTTCCGTTTTTCGGGCCGCAAAGTCCCGGGTGAGACCCACCATCGGTTTATCTGTATACACGAATTTTATTTTGGGTCCATTGCATTTAATTTATTATTATTTAATGTATTTTATGTGGTGACATGCTTAATTGTGGTTGTTATTAGTTAATGTATATAGATGTTAGTGAAAAATGATTTTTTTTGTAGCTCGTGGGACCCGCCACTATGCCTTAAGAATTTTTATGACCACAAGGTCATTACATGACCTCAATTCATCTCTCCCGCAGCCAATTCTCTCTCTCTTTTCTCTTTCTTTTTTTTTTTCGTTTTTTCTTTTACAATCTTTAGACTTTGATTACTTCTCAATCAGTGAGAATTTTTGGGTGCCATTTGCGGCAAATCGAAGAGCATAGCGAGATCTACAAAGTGGGTGTAAGCAATTTTAGCTTTAGTGCACCCTAGGATTTTCGAAATTTAGGGTTCAAATTGGGGGTTTTCATCATTTTGGAGGTAGGGGTGTTTAACTAGAATTTTTTCTTACTATATAAGTGATTTATGTGACTTCTTTGAATTAAGCATGCTTGTGTAAGTCAAATTTGTTTCATTTACATGTAGCTATGCTTATACATGACGATTCCTTAGCTAAAACTGTAGAAAAAGATTATGAATGATGGATTAAGTATTCTTAAAGTTGAAATTGAACTATAGCAAGTATGAATGTAGTAAATGGGGTTGATCGAATGAAATTTTAAAGGGGTTGTTTGGCTGATTTTAAGGGATTGTTTGGTTGATTTTAAGGAGCTGTTTAACTAAATTTTTAAAGGGCTGTTTTGGCTTTTCTAAAGGGTTGTTTGGTTGATTTAAGGGACTATATTGTTTATTGTTAAAGGACTATTTTTGTTGATTTTAAGACAGCTGTAGCATGTGTAAATAAAGTAAAGGGACTGTTTAAATGAATTTTATAAAGAGTTGTATTGATCCAATTGCTACGAAAATTTTAGCATAGGTTCTTATACCTGTCTAGTACCTCTCAAATAAATTTTACAATTTTTTTATAGGTAGTTATTTTTTAAAAAATTTGGGAATAGTTGTTGTCCAGTTATCCCAGTTTGAAAACTGATTTTTTGAGAAAGTTTACGAATTTTATTTTAGAGGTTGTGTTGCTCCAAATACAACCAAATATTTAGTGTAACTTCTAATATGAGTTTTCTACAACTCATAAAAATTTAATGATTTTTGGCAATGTAATTATTTTTTTAAAAATCCGACATTTCCTGCTGTTTGTCTTTTTATTACCGTTGGAAAATAGATTTTGGATAATTTATTTGACCAACACATTGATACTGGATCATGGAAAAACTTACTAGTTTTATACTCCTATATGTCTACCTTCAAAATAAATTTAGTTTGCCCAATTTGGACGTCAAACAAATTTTCTACAAATTTTGAAGTATCCGTTGCCAGAGTTTCTTCGAACTAAGGATCACTGTTTTACTTTTGGAAACTGATTTAAATGGGGAACATTTGGCTTTCGTGAGTGGTTCAGTGATGTTTCATTCTGAGTCTAGTTTTTAAATCATTTTTATTTTTACCGTTTTGATCTAAAATGAATTTTCTACGAATTTTTAAATAACTGCTGCACAGAATTCTTTCAATTAGAAGATGACTTAAAATTTGCTATGTAAATTGTCATATGAATTGAATTGCTTATGGTGATTAATTTGAGTATAAGGTCTTGAAAATTGTAAGGTATTGTATTTAGTATGCTAAATCAAATGATTGAATTGAAGCCTATGTGACTTTATTTTTATTATTGTGTTAAATGTCATGTGGAAACTATTTTGAATTGAAAAGCTTGTTGAGATCTACGCGTTGATAGGAGCAATTCACCATTTGGCCAACTCTAGGAATTTCGAATTTTTGACTCACTTTAGGAATTTTTGCATCTAAGTGAGGTAGGGGTGTTTAATTCACGTTCTCTTGAAATTTTGTGAATTATTTTGTGTATATTGTGTTTTAGCATGCCTATTTTGGATGAATTCTTGTAATAATTGTTTAAATGATATATATGCAAATGTGAGAGTATGTGTTGATGGATGTGTTATGAGAAAGCATGCTTATATGAAATCAATGTATGTATGATATGTTTGTTGTGCTTATAGTGTTGTTAGATGAGAGTATGATATCTTGAAATTTCATGTGTCGTATGCTATGTAGTTTTGAATGGAATTAAATGTGTAGTCATGAGTATTGACATGACATGATGCATTCATGCACCTCATTGGGAAGAAATGAAGAAAGATGTTTTGAGAAAAAAAATTAAAATGAAACGGGATTTTCGGGAAGAAGTTTTCGAATACGATTTTATGAAAAACCTGGTCGCCTAGGGGTTATCGAAGGGCCGTGGTGTTAGTGAGGCCTAGAGGGGATTAAGGAAATTCTCCTTAGTGTGATTGAGCTATCGGGGCCCCAAATGACGCCACGGAGTTTCCATGGGTTAAGGACAGTAGCCAATCCTCCTCTCGTGTCGCCAGGGGGTTACCGCGGGACGGATTTCACTAACGGTTTGGAAATGGTGACGGATATGGTTTTGAAAAATAGGGAGAGACATAGCACGACATGACATTTCATTTTATGGCATCTTCTTTCATGACTTCGGTTATTGGTGTGATTGTGTGGTTATTTTCCCAGCATAGTATGATCCTGGTTCTTTTATTGCTATTTAGCATAACTTGTATGGCTTTAGGAGGTGTTGGTTGGTCATCATCTACTGAGCAATGTAAGCTTACCCCGTTGTCATAAACATTTCAAGAAATGGACTTTTTATGGAAGATATGCCTCAACCTCAGCCTTTAAGTATCTTATCGAAGTTTGCTTGGAAGTATATTGGTGTCGCTAGCATATTGATGTAGTAGTTTTGTTAAACTTGATTACCAAGACAATGAGATTTATGATGTAATTGAGATTATCAATATAATTAGAGTGGTTGAATTTTCGGGGCATCATGGAAATTTTTTTGATGTACTTAAGGATTTGGTTTTTTTTTTTTTTTTTTTTTTTTTTTTTTTTTTTTTACGTAATCTTTTGTAGTTGAAATTGATGGGTCGTTACAATTTGGTATCAAAGCAATGGTTCAAAAACCTAGAGACGACGGGTTGGGTTGACCTAGAATGAGTTAGGACTTGATTAGTGTATACTATGTGCTTATGTGCTAAGATGTTTAATGTGAAAGCATGCTTATGTGATTATGTGCAACCTTGTAACTTGTTTTGATATATGATGAAGCATGTCTTATCTGTTTACTTGGTACTTGTTAGGCTATAGGACTTGGCATGTCATGGTTGGTTGGGTGCTAGGTATTGAAGCATAGGGACTTGTGACTAAGTAGTTAGCGTGATGGATGGTTGCATGAATGTGGTCTAGGTATTGATAATGTGAGCGATCATGATTACCATCTCCCTTTAAGGTTGGCTGGTGTAGCGTCACTCAATAAGACTATGATATTTGTGATAAATTATTGTCTTAGGTTGATTTTGAGAAGTGGTTCAAGTATTGGTTATGTGATTGTGGAATTGTCATTCCTTCTTGTGGTTGGTTAGTGCAACGTTGCCATGTAGGCATGTCGCCCTAGTGATAAGTTTATGGGTCGTTGTGATAGGGGTTGTGGGTGTTTTATGCACTTATGTGTGTGTGGTTGTGGCACATTAAAGATTATAGATAGGATAGTAGGTTTGAACTGTTGCTGGAAGGAGTAGCAGTGGAGGTGTTATGGTGTGATATGTAGTGCTTGTTCTGAGAGTGGTTTTGACCGGTGGAATGTGAGGCACGGGTTGCCGAATAAGGATTGTATGTTCCCAGTGTTTGGTACTAACGATGATGGCTAGGGAATGTGTCGTGAACAGCAGTTTGAGAATGATTAGGTGATATGATGTGATGTGAATTATGTACATAGAAGTTTTGTTGGCATTTGATTTGAGCAGTGTTTTGAGGACAAGTGTCGATGTTACCTTAGAATTACGTGATTTAAGAAAGTGATTATGGGATTCTGTTGAAGAATTATAGGAATGGTTGACTTTGGTTTTGAGGTTTCAAGCATGAGATAGTCGCATTGTGTGTTTTAAAGAAATAAGAATTGAACTGAATGATGTTATGGAGTTATTTACCTGGTATGGGTGCTTAGAGAAGATTAGAAAGCTAGTATGCTGGTCGATGATTGTAGTATTTGGTGTCATATTGTTTTTAGCTTGTTAGAATTGTGTGATTAAAGTATGATTGGGATTCAGAAGATAGATATATGACTGTATAGTTGTTGAGGTTACGTATAGCAATGGGTGGATAGTGAGTGAATCCCATTGTTGTTTTGTCGACTATGTGAGATTGTATTTGAGGTGTGAACCTGAGGATAAGAACGACGTCTATGCTGAGACTGGATAGAGGATGAGGATGGCCTGGCCAACCATTTCTCCTTAATTAATTCCTCTTTAGCATGATGTCAGGACAAAAGTCAATAATTGTTTTGTGTTGTCACAAATAGTGAGAATAGGATACTGGGCGTGTGTCAATGTGATGGTATAGCTACGTGTTAGATAGCAAGTGTTTGGTCTGACAGAGATATATAGAATTGAGATTTTGTGCGTCCTTTGAATGATGAGTTAAGGTTGGATGTTGTCTTCATTCAGTGGTTTGGTGACTGTTCTTTTCTCAGGTTTTGGAGTTTTTCGTGGCTGTGTAGAGTGGATCGATGCTCGTTTTGGGTCAGGCATAAGGTCTAGTTAGCCTTGTGTCATGATAAGGTGAGAGATGGGTACCCGTATTGGGTTTTGGTGGCAGTGGTGTGTGATTGCCTGTTGACGTCTGGTGACAATAATGTTGGTGAGTTCATGGTCTTGAGGTTTTGTGAGGTGTTCTCAGAAAGTGTGTGGCCGTGGGCCTTCTTCATAAGGAGGGTAGATTTCAAGGACAAAATCTCTTTAAGGAGTGTAAATTGTGATGTTTTTTATTTTCGCCATTTTTCATTTTTTGAAATTTTCTGTTTTTGCAAGAGCATTTTCGTCTTTTCTTGTTTTGCGTATTGGACACCGCGGGGTGTGCCGGGTGTATCTGAGAGTTGGTTGGAGGCATTCCAAAAGTTTAGGACTCTTGGAAATGCAACGGTTACCATTTCGGCATTTTTTCGTTTTTCAGGCCGAAAAGTCCCGGGTGGGACCCACCATCAGTTTATTTGTATACGAGAATTTTATTTTGGGTCCATTGCATTTTATTTATTATTATTTAATGCATTTTATATGGTGACATGCTTAATTGTGGTTGATATTAGTTAATGTATATAGGTGTTAGTGGAAAAAGATTTTTTTGTAGCTCGTGGGACCTGCCACTATGCCTTAAGAATTTTAATGACCACAAGGTCATTACATGACCTCAATTCTTCTCTCCCGCGGCCAGTTCTCTCTCCCTTTTCTCTTTCTTTTTTTTTTTCTTTTTTCTTTTTTTTTTTTTTTTTCTTTCTTTTACAATCTTTAAACTTTGATTATTTCTCAACTGGTGAGAATTTTTTGGTGCCGTTTGCAGCAAATCGAAGAGCACAGCGAGATCTACAAGTGGGTGTAAGTAATTTCAGCTTTAGTGCACCCTAGGATTTTCGAAATCTAGGGTTCAAATTAGGGGATTTCATCATTTTGGAGGTAGGGGTGTTTAACTAGCATTTTCTCTTGCTTTATAAGTGATTTATGTGACTTCTTTGAATTAAGCATGCTTGTGTAAGTCAATTTTGTTTCAATTGCATGTAATTATGCTTATATATGACGATTCCTTAGTTAAAACTTTAGAAAAAGATTATAAATGATGGATTAAGTATTCTTGAAGTTGAAATTGAACCATAACAAGTATGAATGTAGTAAATGGGGTTGTTCGAATGAAATTTTATAGGGGCTGTTTGGCTGATTTTAAGGGATTGTTTGGTTGATTTTAAGGGGTTGTTTTACTGAATTTTAAAGGGTTGTTTTGGCTTTTCTAAAGGGTTGTTTGGTTGATTTAAGGGACTATATTGTTTATTGTTAAATGACTGTTTTTATTGATTTTAAGACAGCTGTAGCATGTGTAAATAAGGTAAAAGGACTGTTTAAATGAATTTTATAAGGAGTTGTATTGATCCAATTGCTACGAAAATTTTAGCACAGGTTCTTATACCTGTCTAGTACCTCTCAAATAAATTTTATAATTTTTGTACAAGTAGTTATTTTTATAAAAATTTGAGAATAGTTGCTGTCCAATTATCCCAGTTTGAAAATTGAATTTTTTGAGAAAATTTACGAATTTTATTTTAGAGGTTGTGTTACTCCAAATACAACAAAATTTTTAGTGTAACTTCTAATATGAGTTTTCTACTACTCATAAAAATTTAATGATTTTTGGTAGTGTAATTTTTTTTTTAAAAATCCGACATTTCCTGCTGTTTGTCTTTTTATTGCTGCTGGAAAATAGATTTTGGATAATTTATTTGACCAACAAAGTGATACTGGATCATGGAAAAACTTACTAATTTTATACTCCCATATGTCCACATTCAAAATAAATGTAGTTTGCCCAATTTGGATGTAAAACAAATTTTCTACAAATTTTGAAGTATCCGCTGCCAGAGTTTCTTCGAACTAAGGATCATTGTTTTACTTTTGGAAACTGATTTAAATGGGGAACATTTGGCTTTCGTGAGTAGTTCAGCGATATTTCATTCTGAGTCTAGTTTTTAAATCATTTTTATTTTTACCGTTTCGATCTAAAATGAATTTTCTACGAATTTTTCAATAACTGCTGCGCAGAATTCTTTCAATTAGAAGACTTAAAATTTGCTATGTAAATTGTCATATGAATGAATTGCTTATGGTGATTAATTTGATTATAAGGTCTTGAAAATTGTGAGGTATTGTATTTAGTATGCTAAATGATTGAATTCAGGCCTGTGTGACTATTTTTATTATTGTGTTAAATGTCATGTGGAAATTATTTTGAATTGAAGAGCTTGTTGAGATCTACGCGTTGGTAGGAGCAATTCACCACTTGGCCAACCCTAGGAATTTCAAATTTTTGACTCACTTTGAGAATTTTTGCATCTTAGTGAGGTAGGGGTGTTTAATTCACGTTTTCTTGAAATTTTGTGAATTATTTTGTGTATTGTTTTAGCATGTTTATTTTGGATGAATTCTTGCAATAATTGTTTAAATGATATATATGCAAATGTAAGAGTATGTGTTGATGGATGTGTTATGAGAAAGTATGCTTATATGAAATCAATGTATGTATGATATGCTTGTTGTGCTTATAGTGTTGTTAAATGAGAGTATGATATTGTGAAATTTCATTTGTCGTATGCTATGTAGTTTTGAATGGAATTAAATGTGTAGTCATGAGTATTGACATGACATGATGCATTCATGCACCTCATTGGGAACAAATGGGGAATGATGTTTTGAGAAAAAAAATAAAAAATAAAAAATAAAATAAAAAATGAAATGGGGTTTTCGGGAAGAAGTTTTCAAATACGGCTTTATGAAAAACCCGGTCGCCTAGGGGTTATCGAAGGGCTGTGGTGTTAGTGAGGCCTAGAGGGGACTAAGGAAATTCTCCTTAGTGTGATTGAGCTATCTGGACCCAAATGACGCCACGGGGTTACCATGGGTCAGGGAAAGTAGCCAATTCTCCTCCATGTCGCCAAGGGATCACCGTGGGATGGGTTTCACTAACGGTTTGGAAATGATGACGGATATGGTTTTGGAAAATGGGTTGAGACATAGCACGACTTGGCATTTCATTTCATGTCATCTTCTTTCATGACTTGGGTTATTGGTGTGATTGTGTGGTTATTTTCCTGGCATTTTATGATCCCGGTTCTTTTATTTCTATTTAGCATAACTTGTATGGCTTTAGGAGGTGTTGGTTGGTCATAATCTACTAAGCAATGTAAGCTCACCCTGTTGTCATAAACATTTCAAGAAATGGACTTTCTATAGAAGATATGCCTCAACCTCAACCTTGAAGTATCTTATCGAAGTTTCCTTGGAAGTATATTGGTGTCGCTAGCATGTTGATGTAGTAGTTTTGTTAAACTTGATTACCATGTAGACAATGAGATTTATGATGTAATTGAGATTATCAATATAATTGGAGTGGTTGAATTTTCTGGGCATCGTGGAAATTTTTTTGATGTACTTAAGGAATTTTTTTTTTTTTTTTTTTTTTTTTTTAACGTAATCTTTTGTAGTTGAATTTTATGGGTCGTTACATAAAGTCCTTATGAGAACAAGTGCACTATAACTAAAAATCCATTTATTAAAAAAAATTATCACTACACCCTTTTTTTTTTAATTTCATTAAATTATCATTTTAGTTTTTATAAAAAGACCATTTTAACAATTTCACATTGTAACTATAATTTAACCTACAAGGTGACAATTTAAATAGATTGGACATTGTTTGACATAAATCTCGGAACTTAAGTTGAACGTAAAAGAACATAATCCAATTAAATCTAGTCTATCTAGATTATTCTCGGATCAACTCAAAGTCAAAAAAAAAAAAGCTGGAGTTGGACCCATTAGTTTGGAGGTGGTGTGCAGCCGGTGGAGAAGATGTAGATGGAGATACACATTCTATATTTCTATCTATCTTCAAAAGCATTACCACTGTCCTACACTTTTTTCAGTCTAATCATATACTACTAATTAATGGGATATTTCAATTGCTTTTGTAACGCATAAAACAAAAACGATTTCCGAACTGCAATTGAAGTAGAACATGTGCATACAAAACCAGAAATGATGATGCAAAAGCTAGGAATTAATATAGAACTCAATCCATTCGTATGGAACAAGAATATTAAAATCCATGGATGACATAATTGAGAGAGACCTCATGACCATGATGATCGAATTAATACATGTAAACCAATGGTGGAGTTCCCACAAACTTGCTAGTGTTGTACACCTATGGTACTCCCAAGATTGATTATTTTTTGTATCATGCCATTCTCTTTCCCATACCTTTTTCCACCCTGCACACACGGCTTGTATAAGAAGGCTAGCCCAGTCATCCCAATTAGTTGCAGCAACAATGGCTACTTATCAAGTACTAGACATGCAAGAAGAAGGAAAATTACATAAAGGGCCTTGGTTCGAAGAGGAAGATGAGCAATTGACTGCCATTGTTGCGCTTCTAGGGGAGCGGAGGTGGGATTCGCTAGCAAAAGCATCAGGTATGCATATCATTCATTGCATCATACCGTCATCATTCTTACCTTGGTCCCATATGAAGGGGTCTGTCTAATCTTTTCTATTCATTACATCCAACCAAAATGTAAGTAATGGTTAATTGTCAAGTTGTGAGCTTGTTAATGGAAGTTGCTGACTAATTTGCAGGCCTGCAGAGGAGTGGCAAGAGTTGTAGGTTTCGGTGGCTAAACTATCTCCGTCCCAATCTTAAGCATGGTCATATAAGTGCAGAGGAAGACCAAATCATTATTCAACTTCACAAGCAATGGGGTAACAAGTAAGTAATAACTGACTTCATATATAGTTCATTTAACAATTTATAAAATGTGTGCCAGTACGTATTTAACAAAATAATAATAATAATAATAATTTGTTTCTAGAGCCAACAATATGTATTTAACTTCAATGCTAATTGTTGGTTTTTTTTTTTTTTTTTTTTTTTTTTTTTTTTCTCATTTTTCACTTTTTATATTTTATTTTATTCTTATGTTTTTGTATACACACTTTTGTAGGTGGTCAAGAATTGCTAGAAGGTTGCCAGGAAGAACAGATAATGAGATCAAGAATTACTGGAGAAGTCATTTGAGAAAGAAAGAACAAGTTACAATTGGTACTGCAAATTTATCTGCTTCCATGCATGTTTTTACTGCTATTGCTTATGTATATTTTACTGACTGATGTTATATATATTCAGGAAATATGGGAAGTGTCATAAACAATGTCAAACAAGATCAATTGGTCCCAATCAATCACAAGGATGACATTTTGGGCATCTCTGTTGATTGTTCAAATAATGAACTCGAGCTATCAAACTTTGTATCAGTTAGTTCGCCATACGAAACAAGGTTATCAGAGTGGATGTCATGTTGGTCACATGAGCAAAGTGATCAAATGGTACGTCAAGAGGACCATTGCAGTTTCGATTCGTTTCAGACATGGACCTCTGAAGATAGCAACCCTAGTGTATGGGAATGTTCAGGTTCCCTCTGGGACTTGGATTAAACTGTAACTGTTGTTGAGCTTTGAGATGTGAATAGCAAAACAAACTGTTCATAGATAATTCAGTAAATGTAAATCTTTGTGTCATGTTCAAAAATAAATAAAAAGTACATATTCCATTTAAAATTTTTTGTTATTTAATTACCTTCAATCTATTTAGTTGTGATTATATTCATGCAGTGGGATTTTTGGAATTGTCCTCTTCAAATTTCAACTCAATAGCCATGAGAAGCACCGAAAAAGTGCAACGGCAACAAAAAGAACAACCATTCAAATGCTGTAAGACCAAACCTTTGCATTTGACTGTATATGTGTAAACAAATCTATGAACTAACCCAATTTCTGAAATAAAATAAAATAAAATCTATGAACTAACCCAACAAAAGACATAAATGTGTAATTAAACAGAGAACAGGGTATACAGTGTTACTCTCAGCCCCATATTTAGTATGCGTAAACATAGTTATTAATGTTGAAGGTCACAAAAGGTGTGTAGTCCGAAAGTAATTGGATTGAGCAAGACATGTCACAAGAAATGTCTATTTGAAACATCAAAGAAAGGGTCGTTGACAAAACTCTTGCTTAATTCAGTTAATTGTTATTTGAAACACGCGATAAATCACAGAGAGAGACAAATAAAACCGTAAAAGATGTAAAAAGTTGTACCCTTCCAAATTTTTTTTGGTTGAGATGCTATGTGAAATGAAAATTCTATAGAGAGCATTACACAACTATTTGGGTTCATATTTTAGTGTGCAAAGTTTCATTTTTAACATTCAGATTATGAGAACCCTTAAAATGTTGTTTTTTCTTTCCAGTATTATATTGCATTGAGATGCTATGAATATTTGAGTTATTATATACTCCTTGTGATCTTTATAGGTCATTGGGTTGGTGAAGTACCCTGTAGTCACAAAGAAGAAGATAATGTTTTCCATTTAGCAACTAGATTACATATGAAGTGGGATAGATAGATAGATAGATAGATAGATACATGAAACGAACTTGCCTACGCTTATTTTGTATGCTTGTGAAAAGATAATATTACCCTTAATCCTATCCCATTTTAAATTTGATATGTGATGAATATGATATCACAACCTACCAGTGTCTACATCATCTTCTATCCATACGTATCCAAGACTGGTTCTTAAGTTTGTATGTCAGACATTATGGATATAAAGTTATAAAAAGCAACTAGAGGTTCTTAGTGACAAAAAAAAAAATGTTGTTCAATGTTAGAAATGACCAGTAACTGGAAGAGAACTACATCATCTTCTATCCATCTGTTTTGTACACTAGTTTTCTAGTAGCTCTGATTAATTGAATGGATGTATAGTTTTAAAATAAAAAATGGAAGCATATATAGAGAAAGAAAACATCAGTCACAGCAAGTTGTTCATAATATATTATAAAAATGAAAAACAGAGGATTTCCATTTGTGGTGGAGACAAGAATCTCTCTCAGCCATTATTTTCTTACTATGTAAGGGTCATCTCAATTTAGTGACATATATCATGTCTAAATATAATAGGGGCCTCATGTATTTTGTACTGTACTGCTTCCTATCCCAAGTTGCCTATTAGCATTCTCTCAGCTTTGAGGAGAGAAGAAAAACAAAAATTCAGAGGGGAAAAAAGAAAGAAGAAGAAGAAGAAGAAGAAGAATCAGTTCTAGTGATTTTGTTCTGTTGAAGAACCTAAACCACTTGGTGTTGCAATTTCTCTAGGAAATCAAATGAAATGGATGTTGTGGTAAAAAAAGGTTAGCTCGGTGCACAAAGCTCTAGTTCATGTTAAAGTGTTTCTCAATTTCATCGTAGTACTTTATTTGAGGTGGAGAAAACTTTAGTTAAGGTGGAACTATGAAGATATCCTTATTGGAGGTGGAGCTATGGTGGAGATAAAGACATATTTTGATCAAGTGTTGATTACGGGAAGAATAGGAGTGTTCAAAATTGCTGATTTTGGCTTATCTTTGGTGGGGTTCAACCTGGGCGTGTTGTTTTTTGGCTTTGGCTACTGTTAAATTGAATTGGTTCCAATGGTGATGAACTGGTTCAACTTGTACGGTTAGTTATTAGAAGTTGCAAGAAACAGTTTCTTAATTGGTTTTGAAAGCCATAAGATTTGAAAAAAAAGCTAAAGATTTGGTAAAGAAGTTGTACCTTGAAAACTTTATAAATAGAGATGGGTATGAGAGGTTTAAAGAGAGAAAAAGAAAGTTGAGATGGTGAGAGAAAAAAGAGTGTACAATCAAGTTTTTTGAAGTAAAGTTAGTCGTTCTTCGCTCGTGGACTAGGTAATTTGCCAAACCACATAAATCTCGTTTTTTGCTTGTGTGTGTGTTTTTTTCCTATTATATTTGCCAATTGTGTGTGTGAAACCCTAACAGTTCAATTGTAATAGAAAGGTTGTTTCGATTCTGAACTCGTGAACTCCAAGTCACAATGCCAGCAACCTTACTGTTGTGCTAAGAGCCCTCATGGATGTTCTGGTGACATATAAAAATAACAAGGAAGGATAGGCAATTAGAAACTTTGGAAAAAAAAAAAAAGAAAAGGATAGGCAATTACAAAAGATAATAAAATGGAATTAGAAGAAAGCAACAGTGCTGTGCTGCTCCTGTGCAAATATGAATTTCCAACTAAATCAAAGAAAAACAAAGTTAGGACTCAAGAGTTCTGTTTATATAAACTTCTGGCACTAAAATTGTTTAAACTATAATAAATGAATGTCAAAAGGGTCCTAACTACGAATTGCAGAATACTTTCTTGCTTTCTTTGATTTTGTGCTGCTATATACTATCATATACAATGTCAATAATTTACATATGACGTGGGATAGATAGATAGATAGATAGAGAGAGAGATAGATACATGAAATGAACTTGCCTACGCTTATTTTGTATGCTTGTGAAACGATAATATCACCCTTAATCCTATCCCATTTTAAATTTGATATGTGATGAATATGATATCACAACCTACCAGTGTCTACATCATCTTCTATCCATATGTATCCAAGACTAGTTCTTAAGTTTGTATGTCAGACATTATGGATATAAAGTTCTAAAAAGAAACTAGAAATGACCAGTAACAACTAGAAGAGAACTACATCATCTTCTATCCGTCTTATACACTAGTTTTCTAGTAGCTCTGATTAATTGAATGGATGTAAAGTTTAAAAATTAAAAATGGAAGCATATATAGAGAGAGAGAAAACATGAGTCACAAGAAGTTGTTCATAATATATTATAAAAATGAAGAACACAGAGTTTCCTTCCATGGTGGAGACAAGAATCTCTCAAACCCATTCTTTTCTTACCATGTAGGATCATCTTAATTTAGTAACATATCATGCTTAAATATAATATGTGCCTCATGTATTTTGTACTCTACTGCTTCCTATACCCCAATTTGGCTTTTAGCTCTCAGCTTTGTGGAGAAAAGAAAAACAAAAATTCAGAGGGGGAAAAAGAAAAAAAGAAGAAGAATCAGTTCTAGTGATTTTGTCCTGTTGAAGAACCTAAATCACTTGGCGTTGCAATTTCTCTAGGAAATTAAATGAAATGGATGTTGTGGTAAGAAAAGGTTAGCTCGGTGCACAAGGCTCTAGTTCAGATGTAATAGAAAGGTTGTTTCGGTTTTGAACCCGTAATCTCCAAATCACAATAAAGCAGCAACTGTACCATTGAGCTAAGACCCACCCTCATGGATGCTGTGGTGACATATAGAAACAAGAAGGAAGGATAGGCAATTAGAAAAGATAATAGAATGGAATTAGAAGAAAGCAACAGTGGTGTGCTGCTCCCGTGCAAATCTGAATTTCCAACTAAATCAAAGAAAAACAAAGTTAGGACTCAAGAGTTGTGTTTATATATAAAATTTTGGCACTAAAATTGTTTAAACTATAATAAATGAATGTCAAAAGGGTCCTAACTACGAATTGCAGAATACTTTCTTGCTTTCTTTGATTTTGTGCTGCTATATTTAATGCATATACAACGTCAATAATTTACATTGTTAGAAGTCAGCTATGCAAAAATTGTAATTGTATCCTAAATTATGTTATGTTGGTAATGGTGGGAATGAGGATATTTTGCAGGTTGCATATGAGAGGTGAGGGTTTAGTAGTGTTAGATATACAAGTGATGTAAGTTGGAATTGGAAGATGCCCTTCTTTTAATCTCATACTACAACACCATGGTTGTTGTGGTGACATAGAGAAATAACAAGGACGACAATGCGATTACAAAGGAGAAAAATATGGAATTAGAGGAAGGTGGTGGTGTTGCATAGCTTCCCAACATTTCATCCTCATTCTCATTCTCATTGTCGTTGTTGTCTTCAGATGGATCGTCACCTAAAATAGTCCCATCACCATTGGAACTCCACTTGCCCAGTTTGTTGCTTCTGCACATTACAAAACTTTCTTATATTAGGCATATGTAGTGTACTGTAACTACTGTTACAACTCTAAAGCAGGGTGTTAAACAAGCACTAAATTGTGTTTTTCTTCTTCATACTCCTTAGTTTGAGGATAATCATTCATTGTTGCATTGTTTGAAAATTTTGGAAGCCACCAGTGTGTTATTTGATTGCTTAATATATCTTTTAAAGTTTAGTTGTTTGACAGGAATAAGGCTGATGCATATATTTTCAACTGCTTAAAAGGTGAGACTTATGGCGAAAAATTATTAGAGAAGTGCTAGCCCCAGTCGCTCGTCTTTCATGACCTTCGGTGATTCGTTGAAAACAATCACAATTGCTGTGGATGATTTTCAATCAACAAACCAATCACCAAAAGTGGAGCGATAGTCGCTAGCACTCATGAATTTCTAATGCCCATTATTTAAGAAATTAAATCAATTAATGTGCTCTATCTCCCTCTAATACTATTCTTATATAGATATACTTTTGTGCTAATTGGCATTTGATATACATGTTTTGAGCAAGGCTGGACCATGAATGATAGTGGTAGAGCTATGCACATATAAACTCATATTCAAATATAACAACCCAGATTAACACCATCCTGGCCTAGGCTTTCTGAACTTAAACAAGGCTTGATATAGCACAAGTTTAGGGCTTTCAGGCCCATCATGCCAAATTTTGGGCTAGCCCGGAACAAATTTAGAACTCTGTTGAAGGAATCATGGTGAATCAGAAAGGTAAAAGTATGAAACCACCGTAAAGAAAAAGGAAAAAGAAGAGAGAGAAAAAGAAAAAGAAAAAGGAAAAGGAAACAAAGAGAAAAGTGGCACGTAGGAGAGAGAAAAGAGAGACCTGGAACCGAGAACACCGGCGTGAGTGGTGAGCTGGTCAATGAATGTAGCTGATTTAGGCTCCACGCTGTAGGCCTTCTCGTATTTAACCTCTACACCTTCTCCAGATGCAACAAAGAAGGCTCCATTTACCATAATGTCCCCCTCACTCCTCCAATTCCAACCCCTCCATTCATCCTGCCCTGTTTCCACTCGCTTTGTCACCTGCCCACCAACCACACAAACACACCACCACCATGTTAGGTCCCACTCTTTCTCTCTCTCTTTCTAATCCTGTAATCACTCACATCACATCACATCACATCACGGTAAATTACTAGAGAATCCAATGTAAAAGTCAGAGATCCACAGTAACTTCAACTAATAATGACATTGAAAGAGTCAGAAAATTATTTGAGGGAAAATAAATAAATAAAGGAACGCCCTTAACAACAATGTGATTAAAAAAAAATTACTTTTAACATTAAGAAATTAATTTTACCAAAAACATTTAGTGGGAGAGTATATATAAATAGGAGTTTTACTAAAAAAAATTGTAGAGATATTACTAAAACTTTTAAAAGAATATAAATATATAATAATTCAGTGGGGTGCACGGGCACATGGCACATTATAGCTCCATCGTGACAATAGTAAAATATTGCCTTTTGGTTTGTTGATATTTGAAATTTCCTCTAAAATGGTGATTTTTTTTTTTATTTTTTATTTTTTATGTAAATGAGAAACATATATTCTCTTAATTATAAGTAAGGTATAAATATGATTTCATTTTGAGAGTGAAGTGGATTTAAAAAAAAAAAAATTAAATGTGTAATTGTGTGTATATATATATGTTCAACAAAATAAACATCATCTAGTCCAAAGTTATATACCTCCTTGGCAAAAGGATTTTTAGGCGCGGTATAGCGATTTCCTTGACTATTAATGGTAGGATTTCCACTACCTCCAATGGCATACATCTCCCACTGCGTAAAATCATTGTTGACCACATGTATATACCCTCTTCTACACCTTGGCATTCTCTGAATTAGCTTTTGACCAAAATGATTAAACGCTATGGTCACCTGCATTCTTGAGTCCGGTAAATAATCATCGCTGTGACCCAATAACATCACCTCATTATGGTGCGAAAAGTAATTGTTGGATATGGTGATCCCAGTGGACCCCATCACCGCATCAATCAGACCGTCCTTACAATGTGAAAGCGAGCAGTGATCGATCCATATGTCGCTCGCACCGAATATCGAGATCCCATCACCGTCCGATTTGGTTCTGTACCCGTAGTGCGTTGGACTCGACCGCACGTTAGTCTCGCCCGATTCGTAGCAGTGGTGGATGTGGATATTGTGAATGATGACGTTGGTGATGTATTGGAGCGTGATGCACCCACCGCCTATTATGTGGACGTTAGCGCCGCGGCCGTCTAGGGTTTTGTAGCTGTTGAAGATGAGTTCTTGGGAGAGTTTGATGAGCATGTTGGTAGCGAACACGATCCAGAGGGGCTCCGTTTGGATGACCGCATAACGGAGAGTGCCCGGCCGGGGGTTGACGGCGTCGTGGTCGGAGGAGTCCGTGACCACGTAGAAGCGACCGCCTTTGCCGCCGAGGGCGTACTGGCCGAAGCCGATGGCGCAGTCGGCGAGACGTTGCCGGTTGAGCTGCCAGTTGGTGTCGCATCGCCAGCAGTCATCGATGGGGTTGCCTGTGAGGCACGAGCTACTTGTGGACGCGTCGCTGTTGGCGTATGATAGCATTTGTCTTCTTGACAGTGAAACATTTACTCTTCTGAAAAAAAAAAATAATAATAATAATAATTACTCCAATTAATTTTTGGGACAGAGGGAAGAGGGAATACTGCCCAATTAATGACAGATAAATATTTGTACACGCATAATATTTGTATTTTTATACATAGCTATACATATACGTGTATACCATAAAAAAAAAAGGAGCGTCATACTTTATTGGATTCTAATTAGTTGGGAGACGAAAAAATATTCCAAAGTCTTTTATGGTCAAAAAATCAAATTATCATGATAAAGAAAAATAATGATAATAATAACAATAATGAAAATAATAGTGGAAAGAAAAACCAAAATGCAGATCCAACCAGATAAAAATGTCTCCCAAAACAAAGAAAGGATCAAAAAACCCGAATATCTATACATATGAGTGTATATAGAGAGAGAGAAACCCAAACTAAGAACTTTAAAAGAAGAGGAGAATGCAGAGCAGCCACATTAAAGAAGTTTAATGAACAGGGCTTAGTGATTTACACTTGCAAAAACCTTTTAAAAACGCGGAACTGCTATATTATATATACATTTGTAAAGAAAAATAAGAAAAACATAGATCATAAAAAGAACAGCCTAGTTTGAAAATGATGTAAACCAGACAAACAAATCGAAGAAAGCATAATAAATTTGAGAAATCAGTAGTGTTATTGCATATTTTGGAATCAGAAACAGAGTGACAAGAGAAGAAAATTTGTACCTTTGGAGATCTTGAACAACAGATTCAGGGTTGGGGTGTGGAGTTGGAAGAGTGAGGTTGAGCATTGCTGCTGAACCAAGTGGATAAATTGAAGTGAGGAGGGAGATTAGAACAATGCAGGTCCAGTGGAGCATTTTGTTGTATTTGACGAAGACAATGTACTTCCTTTCCTTTCCTTTCCTTCTCTTCCCTTTCCTTTCTTGTGGAATGTAGTTAGGAGGAGTTAGTGTATGGGTGCAATACTGAGAAGAATAGTAGTGTGATTGGTGTGTAATGATATATATAGTTAGTAGTTAGTATATATGCAAATGACAGAATGAGTGAGTGAGTGAAGAAGATAATGGATTCTGATTCTCTCACTTCTCCAACTCAGAGTATCTTTTATTTTTACTTCTTTCTTCATTTATAATCATTTTTTTGAGGGATCTGTATTCACTGCAGGAGAGGGAAAAGGAAAAAAGAAACAGGGGAATAAATAAATAAAATAATATATCTAACGAAACAGTGTTCCTTTCAACATTATTTCTCTTTGCAGGTGTAGTTGTGCTTATTAAGTGGTATGGCCAAACAATCTGACGTCCCAAATTCTCTCCTGTGCCTGTTTTATACTGTACCCAAATTCTCTCCCGTGCCACAATTATGTTGTTTTATAATGTTGCATTTAGTCACATTTGTGTTGCACTAGCTATGCAGGATGAATAGAATCTCTCTACTAGAGGAGATTTGAATCTATTAATTTCGTCATTATTGTTGTCTGTTAAATATCGATTATGTTTATTAGTTTGAAAAGAAAATAATGTTGACACTCAAACATTAAAAAGAAGTAAATTTGAGGCACTCCAGTTCTTATGAATTGGAGTATCTCTCTACCAATTTTTTTTTTTTTTTGAAGTACCAATATCTCTCAAAGTCAAAATATAGAGAAAGAAAAACACTACTTAATCCAAATGATAAAGAGAAGCACCCCCCAAACTATTGATTTTGCCCAACAATGTCCTTGAATTAAAATATGAATAAAAGGAAAGTTCAAGCTTATCTGTTTTCTCTTCTTTTCTTTTTTTCTTCCCTTCTTTCACACATTTGAAATTTAAGTAGGACATTTGTTAAACTATACTGTGTCACACACACCAGCAGTTTAGACTTTAGAGTTTCTCCTTAATCAGTTTGAAATAATATTTAATTTGCTCTTTTAATACAGTAGAACATATATTCATTGAACTTTTTGCCATTACTGGATATAATGTGAATATATCTCACACCTGTAAGTCAGCTGTATAGAAGAAGGGTAGCTTATACAGTAACTTAACAAATGAGTGGAGTGGATGTGGATTACATAAGTTTTTTCATGATAGATACCATTCTTTTCCCTGATTGGATGATGACACATATCTTTGACAATGATGGGAGGGTGGTCTTCATTTGGAGGTATATCTATACGTCCAGAGATCCCTCCAGGTTTGCATAATTTCAGTTACAACCCTTGTCAGATATTATGAATTGGTCATGTCAATTGAGAGAACAAAATAACCAATCTACCTTCATTGTTATTTTCCTCAAGAACAAACACTCCAGGGAAAGGTTTGGAAATTAAATTAAATTAGTCACTATTTTTTTATTTTTGTAAATAAAATTTGTTTTGAAAATTAAATTTTACAAAGATTAGGAATTGAAAGGATTTAAATTTTTTATTTTATCAAATTAGGATCCACTAGGGGAAGGTTTAAATAAATTAAAGTTTACTAAAGTTAGAAATTGAAAGGATTTAAATTTATTATTTTATCAAATTAGGATCGACTAGGGAAAGGTTTAAATTAGTCATAAATATATTTTTTTTTAGAAATTAAATTTATTTTGGGAATTAAAGTATACAAGGTTAGGAATTGAAAGGATTTAAATTTATAATTTTATCAAATTTTGATTGACTAAGGACATGTTTAAATTTGTCACTAATTTTTTATTTTAATTAAATTTATTTTGGAAATTGAATTTTACAAGGGTTAGAAATTGAAAGGATTTAAATTTATTTTATGAAATTAAGATTGACAGGGGAAAGGTTTAAATTAGTTATTAATTTTTTATTTTCTGAAATTAAATTGTTTGGAATTGAATTTTACAAAGGTTAGGTATTGAAAATATTTTAATTTCTAATTTTATGAAATTATGAAATAAACTACAATTTTAATAAATAATATTGTGTTTGGAGGGAATAAACTCAAAGCGGAGGAAATTGGAGAGAAACCGTTAAAGGAAATTGGGGGAATGAGGGACTTAGAAGCGTAGTCTTGGTATTATGACTTACTCTGTTTTTTTTTTTTATTTAATGAAATCATCACAAGATATCTTTGACCTGGCCATTACATGATGGTAATGTGTCAGAAAAAGTAAAGTATTTGATGGAAATTATGCAAATTTGGAGGGTCTCCTTAATATATAGACATACCTCAGGGGTCCAAATAAAAATTACTCATGATGGTCCATAAGCTTTCCTATCCATTTGTTTGTGGGCCAGCACTAATGGGCCTACCTTATTATCCCACTGCCAACATCAGGATTGGTGTGGAGCTTCTCTCCATGGGGATCCGAGAACCAATGGAGCCCTTGTTTTCCCACTTCATTTCATCTTAAGTCCTCATTGAAACAGTAAAGAGAATATCAAAGTTTAAAAAGAATGTTAACTACTTTCGTCTTCTATCAACTCTCTTTTGCTTTTGAGTATATTCATTTCAATTTTCATACTTTTAAAATAAAATCCCAGAACTCTCTTTTAGTCCTCAAAATAAAATCTCACTCATATATACTTTTTACATATTTAGTAGGGTCAAGTGCAGGGGTGAACTTAAAATTTTAGATAAGGAGGAGCAAGACTAAAATTTTGTAATAATTTTTTAGAGGAGCATTAGTAATATTTTAGGAGTATATATTGAAAAAAAGAAAAAATAACATGGTATATTAGTAAAATATTAAAAATTCAGGGGATCCGAGAACCAATGGAGCCCTTGTTTTCCCACTTCTTTTCATCTTTAGTCCTCATTGAAACAGTAGACATAATATCAAAGTTTAAAAGATTATATCTTCAATTAACCCTTTGTTGCTTTTGAGTCCATATTCTGTTCAATTTGCATATTTTTAAAATAAAATCCCAGAATTCTCTTTTAGCCATCAAAATAAAATCTCACTCATATACCTATACATGTTTAATATATGTTTTACTGTTTAAACTTTAAAGTAAACCATTTTGTATGGAAGTCAGATTCATATCTCACTGTTGATTTATGAAGAATATATATGCTATTGTGTAACTACTCTCATCCTATTCAGATATAATATTGTCCGTTTTTTGTTTTTTCGAACCAATGACTTCCCAGGTGACTACCCGAAGTCATCCATCTTGGTACTACTTCAGGAGTAAGGACACTTAATTTTAAAATTCTGATGGGTTCACGACCATCATAACTTTAAAATGCGTTGTTTCATAGAGGATGTTGAACCTTACATATAACACTTCCCCTTCCCAGACGATGTGGAATCATAACATCCTGTAACCTGCCAGTGTGGTAGCTTGTTCAGTATCTCACACCCACCTATAGTGGTCGTCACAATTATCCCTGTACGGACCCAACATTTTCGTTGGACACACTTTTGGCTGGACTCCGGTTCTGATACTATTTGTAACAACCCTTATCCTACCCAGACAAAATATTGTCCGCTTTTGACTCCCTTCACTAGACATGTTCAGGATCTTACCTATCTTAATACTACTCCAGAGTATGGAATTCTGATATGTTCATGACCAGTATGATAGTTCGTTCAGTGTCTTGTACCTATCTACAGTGGTCGTCAAAGTGAAAACTAAATAAATTAACAAGCCATTGATTTCTCATATAAGTAATAATTTATTATTCATACAATCTTTTATGTTTAATTGTAACGCCAAAATTAATTTTGAATTCGGATTTCACTAGTAAGAATGTTAAATGAGGGTATCCAACTCAAAAGTTTTGATTAATTCATTAGGTTATTGACACTAATCTTGTATAAGTCTCAAATTTCTCGTCTAGTGTGGAAACTGAAATGTACCTCGTGGGAAAGGAGTTTGGGTCTTTTAAATTTATTGCAGATGGTATAAATTATCTTCCCTAACAGATCAGCAATTGAGTGTATACATAGTTTACACACACAAATATATACATCTCTACAATTGTGTCATGTCTGAAGCAGAAATATCTACATATCTGAAACAAGGACATCTCAATGTTGAGTTTTCGAAGAGTTGTACTCCGTAGGAGAAAAGACCCAAACTAAATTTTCTTTTTAATTTTCTCTTTCTTTATTGTTGTCAAGTTATAAAATTAGAAAACCAGAAATCTCTATGCACAGTTACCCATAAATGCAGCAATTCAGTAAAAACAGACCACCTTAGAAAAGTACAGGTTCTTTGCCGGGTCACTAAGCAACATTATGCTCTCTTTTCTTTTTATTTTTATTTTTAGGCAAATTGCACTGGTATTCCATGAAGTTTTGGTTAACGTCACTTAATAGATAATCAATGACTTTTTTTATCTTGACATCCCCTGATATTTTAAAAATGTGCTCTGACATCCTTCCAAACCTCTGAAATCATATGAAATTATTTTTTAACATTTAACTTATTAACAATTCCATTTAAATCATGAAATTACAAATTTAATCTTCTAACTAAATTTAATATACCAAATTAACATATTCATCTCTTCTATACATATAGATATAGTTTAAGGTAAAGTGCAAAAAATTCCCTTCAATTATTGGCCATTTAGCAGAAACCCCCCTGATCTAATAATTTGGCAAATAACCCCCTCTGAACTAACATGTTTGTTGCAATTAACCCCAATCCGGTGATTAGCCGGTTGAATTTGACTGGAAAGAAGCACATGACAATTACGTGACAGCCCAAAATTTTTTAAATTACCATACAACCCTTTATGAAGTCAAAAGACCACAATACCCCCTCACATTTACTATAAAACGACTTATTTTTAGTCTTTAACTACTGACGTGACCGATTGATTGGAGTAGCTCTCGTTGCCAGATTCTAACATTGGAGTCGCCGGGATCTGACGTCAGAGTTGCTGCTCCCGAAGTCATCTCACACGAGTTCACGAAGTGATCTCTCGGCGTAGGTGATTATCGCGCTCGTTAGGGTTGGGGCTTTCACGCCTCAAGCCTTCCTTGCATCAACAATTCTCTTGAAAAATGCTATGTCCACGATCGATAGCTCCTCTTCCTTCCTCATTTATGCTATAACTGAGCAAAGACCAAATATCTCTGCAATCCTTTTTTTTTTTTTTTTATGGGTAAAATCCTTGCAACGACTACCGGGCGGACTCCGATGACCACAAATATCATAACTCATGTTTTCTCAACTCTCCAATCATTGATTTGATCAATCAATGAAGCTTAGATCCCTGATTTTAGGCCAGATGATGGATTG